CCCCCACCACACACACATACACACACCTCTGTCCAGTGCCAGGCTCCACAAACATATTCTGTGTAATGTTGAATTTTCACAAATCTGCCCTGTCAAGCAGCAAGCTTTGCAGACAGTCTCCACGCCGTGTTGCTTTTGAAGACCCCAGTCAGTCTATCGCTACATAAGTATGTGTATGACATGTTTCTGTCTAAAGTCAAGCTTTTCAGGCATCCGGTGCCAGCTGCTTCTCTCTGTGCCATGTCTGCCAATCCTCTCTGCTAGCCATTGCTGCCTGCCACATCCTCCACATCCTCTTTTTGAAGCTAGACAATGTCCCTCTATGACTGTGTGAGCTGTGAGATACTCATTTTGCACCCCAAAGCCTGCTTTTCTCTGCCAGTCCTTTTGTGAGGCTGTGCTTGTTTGTTAGCTGATATGAAGCTCATGTTAAAGTTACCAGTGACCTACTGCTGACTGCAGACAGACGTGAATCCACCATATTAGTTCTTATATTTAAGTGCTGCTTTTGCTACAGTCGATCATAGCGTCCTGTTACCACGCCTGGAGACTTGGATAAGCATCAAGGGCACAGATCTTCGTTTATTACGCTCTTACCTCTCCAACAGAACCTTCTCTGTTGTTTTGGGTAACTATTCTTCCTCTGTGGCTCAGCTGAGTTGTGGTGTCCCTCAAGGTTCAGTTCTTGGTCCCATTCTGTTCTCTATATACATGCTGCCTCTTAGCCAGGTTATCCAAAAACATTATTTGTTCTACAATTTTTATGACGATGACACTCAGTTATACTTTCTCTTAAAACCCACAAATCCCAGCAGCCTAGCAAACATCGCAATTTACCTAACTTATTCTCAGATTTAATTAGGATAAATTGGAGCTCATCTAATCTTGGTGGTCAGCAAGATGTTAAGCAGGCTGCTAGGGGTAATATTTGATGCAAACCTCTGCTTTGACAAGCAAGTCAAAAATTATGACCAGTTATTGTTTGAGACAATTGCATGGTCATTTTTATCCTCCCGTGATCTGCAAAAAGTGGTAAATGCTTTTGTTTATTCTAGGCTTGATTACTGCAATGCATTTTACTCGGGTATCACCAGCTGGTACAGAAGGCTGCTGCTCAACTTGTTACTGGGACAAGGAAATATAAACACATGACCCCAGTGCACTGGCTCCCTGTTAAATTTCGGATTGATTTAAAATTTGTATCACTCACTGTTAAATATTTGATGTGTTTTTATGTGTAATGTTTTTATTCTTATTTGTTACTCATTCCATTGTTTTATTACTTCAGTGCTCATGTTCCATATTGTCATTTTATCTGCCTTGCTTGGTTTTTATTTTTTCCTCTGTACACCACTCTGTAACATTGTTAAGTGCTATATAAATTCAGTTTATGATTATTCTGTCCATGATTTAATTTCTTCCTTTCTTTTTTTCCTTTTCTTTATTTCTCCTACATATCTGCATATTACTTTTGTTTTTCACTCTCCATCTCTCTCTGCCTATTTATTTCAGTTTTTTGGTTCTTAGATTCGCAGATACTCACTCTCGCAGGAGGACCATTCCTCCGGGCTTCACAGCTGTTATTGGCATATTGCACAGTTTCATCTTTAAAGTCATAACATTTTCTCGTTTTCAATACGAAGTCCAATTTCTTTCCTCACTAAATTAGACATTAGTCAGCCCTTCAGGTAAGTGATACCAGGGAGTGAAATTAATGTGGTAGAAATTGTGTGGTTTCGGGCCTGCTATATTATCAAGGTTTCACATACACACGTGCTCACACACACACACACAAGTCATCCACATCCAACATAACCCCTCCTCATGCTCTTCCCTCCAGTCAGTTGCGTAAATTGTCCCGGTCTAGCCAGGATATGCCTCTTGAAAATGTAGCTGCCAGAGAAAATGTTTCTCTGAACATTTGATGGCCCGCTTATGTATTGAGTAGGATTGCAAATCTATTGAACTGGAGCTCATACAATGTCAGTAGACCATTAAATTTGTGTGAAAAGGCCTCTTGAATGAGCAGATTGAACAGAGCTCTGTCTGAGTCCACTTCTCTTAAGATCACTTTGGTTTCTGAACAATAAAAGCACACATGAAGCAGGATTGTTTCTGTCTCAGGCAAATTTGTAAAAAAAAAAATGTTAATATCACGTCTCTTCATTCTTTCAATTCAGTCAACCTGATTCTTCCATTCTTCTTGTAGGTATCCATTCCCAACAGTTTTCAGCACATGCAGTAAGAAGGACCTTGCTGCCAGTCTGGAGAAAGGCGTTGGCATGTGTTTGTACAACATGCCCGAAGTCAAGGTGCTCTATGGTGGCCAGAAGTGCGGCAATGGTTACGTGGAAGAGGGAGAAGAGTGTGACTGCGGTGAGCCAGAGGTGAGGTTGAGAGCAAAGGCCTTCATCTTTACTTGCTTCATTGGAGTGGATCAGTCTCCCAACACTGTGGTTGTACTGGGCAGCTCTGTGTAACTATGTGAATGTGAAATGGTGCGGAAAAAAGCAAATGTTTTTGGGAGAGAAACAAAAGTTAAAACACAAAATCAGTTGGGAAAATCAATTTTAAGTCTTTGGTGAATTACGATTCTGCGAAGTGTGGTTAATGTTTTTTAGAAAAAATTCTGTGGGTGGTCCTTTTCCCAAAATGTCAACAACAAAAAAAAAAAGCAGGCCTGATTTATCTTCAGATTCTCATTTCTATTCACTGTAAACTGCCTTTACAAATAAGCATGTACTCAAAAGTATCAAACGTGCACCTTTCCAACTTCATATTCCCCTTACAAAACCTATTGTCCAAAGAAAACAATGGTAACTGTCCTGTTAGCAATCACAGAGAACCACAAAAAACTTCACGTAAAAAACTCTCTTGACATTGATGTTGTTATTGCGGCTTAAAAGCATCGAAACCTGCTGTTCAAAAAATAGCCTAAAAGCTCAGCAAACCACCCGAGGCCTCCAATATAAGTGTTTTATTTACATCACACCTTCTCTCCCACATGTGCTGAACAGTGCTCTGACAGGCCGCCACGCTGATGTCATATCCTTGTTGAAGGCCCATTAATCAAACCACTGTCCAACTGCGTGACAAAGGAAACAAACAAAAGTGCAATCGGGTCGAGTCGCTGAAATAAGCTTTCTTTGGCTGTGGAACCCAAACAACTAGGCACGCTCTGATGCATGTATTCAGCCACACACACACGCCCACACAGACACACATACATTGTTTCTCGCTAACACACACTGTTAGGTGAGAATCACATGTGCGAAGCATGTATTGCTCAGTTGCAGCCAAGGCAGTTGCATGTCTCAGAAAGCCTAAAACCAAAGGAGATTTGATGATAAATCACTCAAAATCTCTCAAGGTTGATGGATTTCGTTTAGAATGTAATGCCCCTCATAATTCTTCAAATTGTTTGTTTGTCTAACCTACATCTAAAACCCATAAATTATTAATTTATATTGATGTAAATTAGTGAAAAGCAGCATATGATAAAATTTTGCTTTTACTATTTGCAGATAACTATAGTTAATAGTAGATAATTCAATACATTTAAAGATTCAGATCAGTATCTACCTTTGTTAGCTATGGATTCTAGTGGCAGTCTAATTAATATTCACAACCAAAAACTACTACCTGAAAATGAGATCAGCAGGAGATATGAAATTATTGGGGGTTCGAGGGCTTTTTATTGCCTTTAATTGATGGTGACAGCCAATAAGAGTGACAGGAAAGAGGGGAAAGAGAGAGAGGATGACACACAGCTAAGGGCCACAGGTCGGATTTGAATCGTCCGCCGCTGCAGCAAGGACTCAGCCTTGGTACATTACCTTGGCCAGCTCATCATTGCGTGTGACGACATTTAGCTTGCTGTGAGCTCATGAATCCAACAAGTTTCATTTTAGCCATTACCAAATTACCGTTATTTAGCCAATGATTTTTGTAACCGGTGAAAGTGACGGTCAGCGTCAGCTAAAGTGAGCCATCTAACATTGGTTCACTAAGAGAGAAACGGTTTGATAAGTGATTTGTTAGCATCCTCTTTAATCCTGAGAGTAGTGTTATTTTGGCGAACTTACTCTTTAAAACTGACTCAACAATGTGTTTGATTATTTAGTTAAACTGTGTACTCCATCATTTAGAGGCAACTGTTGGTAGTATTTTAGTGGAGTCATTGTGTTGACCACCAACGAACTAACTGTATAATTTACATTTTCCAACTCAATCTCTGCCAGTTTGCCCCTCCATAACCCCATGATATCACCACAGAGGGCCTGCTTGTTTTATTTGCTGGCCCACTTAGACCTAGAGATGAAAGCCACTTTTTCTCTCCTCTCTAAACAATAGGCTTACGTCAGGGCCAAGAGGTAAACAGCCAGTCTCATAAAACCACACATCAAATGAAAATTAGACGTCCAACCATCCAGTTCCCAGCCTTCACCAAGTCTTGTCATTACCTTAGAGGCCTACAAGCAAAACAGCCACATTGAGAGCGCGATAGTGCGATGCGTGACACTACTTGGAAAACAAAGCCGATGTGTTTCGGCATCCAATAAAAGATAAACATTGCAACACCTCCCTGAAGTCTTTTACAACAATACTTCTCTTTCAAGTACTCCTTACGTACCCTATCTCGGCGGTTTCTGCCAACGGCCAGCTGATCTTGTTATCATGGTGAAGTGGCTACAATCTGTGCCTCTTAAGGGCCTTCAAATCCCACTCTTGCTTCTGCCAATGATACCCAAATAGTGAACTCTTGCCACACCATTCCGCTATCTCCATCAAATCAGATTTGAAGATTTTAACACACCCCACCCCAATTGCTAAACCTGATTTCCCTCCTCTGCTTCACATTCCCACAGTTATTTTTTTTACATGGGCCGCCGCATTAAACACACTCCTCTTTTTTTGCAAGTCCAATGGTCTTGAGAATTCCCAAATCCAGAACATATGAGCTTCAGTTAATATGTCTCCACTCAAAGGTCTCCAGGTCAGGGTAAGCAAAGCATGAATCCCCCGGACAGGAAGTGTGCTTCGCTGACCTGTAAGTCTTGATCTGACAGGGACCAGCTGACAGAGGAACTCCAGAGCGGTGATCAGGTCCACATGTTGTTAACTATTTTGTGTTTTTCCTTTTTATTCTAGGAATGTATGAACCCATGCTGCAACGCCACCACATGCACCCTTAAGGGAGATGCCGTGTGTGCCCACGGACAGTGCTGTGAAGACTGCAGGGTAAGACCTTTCTCATGCATTTTCCTTCTACTTTGGACACTTCTTTTCCCAATTTAAATGCCTTTATGCCATTCTCATAGCAGAAAAAGTTCTGAAATTGTATTTTCTCTTTTCTCAATCTTTTGAACATTGCACAAAGCTTTACTCTGCAGAGATGGACATTTTTCATTTCTAGACTTAAGTGCAAGACCCAAAACTTTCTTAAAGCCTGTTAATTCTCTCTGGTAAGCTATTAAGAGACTCATAATAGTGTGACCTTGGATATAATTTAATATCTCAGGGCAGTTGATTCAATCTTGGGATATTTTACCTCAATAATTGAAGAAAGGCTCTCAAGTTAGATTGCAAGTTCACTTTCACCAAGTTATTAGTGGTTTTTGCTATGACATGGAAATCTTTCTCCTTTCAGATGTCCTCTCTTTGAAAATGAACATTTGTTGAAGATGATTAAATGATTACATGTTTCTGCACCTTCATTCTGACCTCCTTCCCTGTGCTTTACACAAAAACGTGTGACAGTGTTGTACATAAGCTAGATGTCCTGTTGAAGCTCATTTCAGACATGAAAAATATGTATTCATATTTAAATAAGCCCCCAGTCACTTTTCTTACTGGATCAGATCTAGTTGCAAAGTGGCTCGAGTTTTGGTTAACAAGGCCAAGACCAGCACAAGGTTAAGTATGCAGAGAGATATTGTACTAAATTGGTGTCTTCTTCTTATGAGCACTGTAAGTAGATCACAATGAAAAGAAAATAACAACAAAGGGCTGTGCAATATGACCAAAATCTCATATCCTGATATATGATAACAATATATATCACTATAAAGCACATTTTCTGTAAACAGTTTATATAAAATGACACATGGAATGGCCTATTTCTTATTACATTTTGAATTATACTTGGCAAATAAAAGGTACTTATTCATATTTGATTATATTGAGATATATAAGAGAGAGATGTGAAGACGACCAAGTAAAGCATTTTGTACCACGTTGGTTTCACTATTAATCCCGATTCAGACTGAAATGCGAGTTGTGTTTTTTGGGGGACTTTATAAAACATACTGCTGGAGAGAGACAGAGAGAAACAGAAGGGGGGGCAGATTCGTTGCATGTGCAGAGCAGTGCAGAGCTGCTGGTGTATGCGTGTGTGTATGGGGGAGAGATAAAGCAAGGTGAGCAGATTAAAGTAATTTGTGAGTAATCACTAGCGAAACATTTGCTTTGCATTGCATCCCTGCCTCATCAACTCCTCCAAAAGTGCATATTTCTCTCATATGAACTCCGGACTCCAGAAGAGAGTGATTTGTCACACAGTGAAATAGGTGAAACAATAGACGTTTTTCTATCCTTACACAATATAAATGGTCATATCACACAGCCCTAAACCACACCGCACTGTATTTACTTTAGTTAGCTTCACATTGTTGAGGAGATTCTTCTCATGTAAGATTTGTCTATAAAAATGTGTTTTCATGCTTTTAATTTTTACTACCTTTGTGGCGCAAGGCAGAAGAAGAAAATTCATCCACGGAAAATTAATACAGTATAAATATCCAGCAAAACATAAAGGATGTAAGCAAATTAAATTAGAATCAATCTAAAATCTCCTCTGACACTCATGGTGGTCATTAATTAAGACTTGAACTGCAAAATCAATTTAAAACCCATCACTCCTGTAGCCTCCAGACAACTGAAAACACTTTTCTTCCTTGATAGCATTTTTAACCTCGCTAGCAGCATCGCTCTATGGATGGCATTGTTTAGTCCAGACTGAAATTTCTCTATTAAACTATTTAATGGATTGCTGTGAAATACTGTACTGACATTAATATTTCCCAGAGGGTGATCCCCTGATTTTCATGTAGCGCCACCGAGGTTTTTATTACATGGATTGCCACCAACTGTGGTGATCTTCATCCTCTTCATCCAGCATCTTCAGGTCAAAATTCTAAACTGTCCAATAGTTTGGTTCATGACCATGCTGATTATGTTGTCATGCTAACATCTAAGACAACTAAGATGGTGACCATGGTGAACATTATACCTGCTTATCATCAGCATGTTAACATGCTGCTTCCTTTTCAAGCCATGTCCTTTTTCAGGATATTCTTATAAAAAGGGATCAGATGTGCTGATTACTCTTGTCATCATGGTTTCATCATAAAGCCCTGAAGGCAAACTCACACGTGCCCATGTTGACTGCTGTCTTTTCTCACATAGCCAGACCATGCCACACTTTGGTTGCAGGTGGAGCAAGTGCATGACACACAAAAACACAACCAGGGTGGGTTTTTCAAACAAGCGACACATTGCTTAGCCTGTTCACTGATGCACGGAGCAGGTTAGGACATCTTCATTGGGAAAACCTGAAACAATCTGATATTCACTCGTCTGCATCGCTTCCAGTTAGGCGGCAGTGTTACAGAGCTGCTAGTGTAGCTGTAGACTCTTAGTTTCGCTCTCTCATCACTGTTCTCAGTGCTATCACTCCTTCTAGCACACCATATGCCAAATATCACACACACATTGCTGCTCTCTTTGCAACAGTTCTGTCATGTTTGAATGAAACCAGAATATTTACAAAGCCCAGAAGCATTGACTTTAAAAGATAGATGAAGTCAGAAATGTTGCAGACTCTATGTTTGAAAGGGTTTACTGTACTGTATTTACTGTGTTTACAGCTGAAACCAGCTGGCACCCTGTGTCGAGAGTCCAGCAACTCCTGTGACCTGCCAGAGTTCTGTACTGGTGCCAACCCTCACTGCCCAGCCAACGTTTATCTGCATGATGGGCACGCCTGCCACAATGTCGAAGGCTACTGCTACAACGGCATCTGCCAGACTCATGAGCAACAGTGCATCACCCTGTGGGGACCAGGTAAATCAATGGCTACTGATAAGTTTGACTGTGTAAATAATCTTCACTTCCATAAGGGGATCCCTCACTTCATTTTGGTGATTATATTTTTGTATTTTCCTTGTATGTTTTTGTGTGCAGGAGCCAAGCCTGCCCCTGGGATATGCTTTGAGCGAGTCAACTCTGCAGGGGATCCTTATGGGAATTGTGGGAAAGACTCCAAAGGCTCCTTTGCCAAATGTGATGCGAGGTAAGACAGTGCAGCTGCACTGATGCAGTAGAGGTACAGAGAAATCACTGCGCAAAATACAACTGATTAGTTTAAGTGGTGTCATTAGCAATCATCATTACGTTGTGAAATCTGACATGTGATCTTCAAACAAAAGTTTACATGGGTGAAAAATGTAATTTGAGAAAGATAGCAGCTAATTACGTTCTAAGAAAGTATTCATGAATTGTTTCATGCTATTCTTGTTGGCTAATTGTACTAAAGATCTTCTCCCTTTGGGTGAATTCGGTAATCAAGCTCTTTCTTAATTGATGTAATTGCTTTAATGGCCGGAGGACAGAAGCACTGAAGCTCTCTTCAGCCGTCTTTCATCTCTCTCTACAGATACTTATCTCTGTCTGTGATTGACAGGCTTTTACGCTTTAGGCTTTTTTAATTAAGTGTTTTACTATGTGTTTTTTAATGTTTGTGTGCACGCATGTGTGTTTCCGCTTGTGTGTGTGTGTGGGGGTCATTTGCAGGGATGCAAAGTGTGGTAAAATTCAGTGCCAGGGAGGAGCCAACCGGCCTGTGATCGGAACAAATGCTGTTTCTATTGAAACCAATATCCCGCTACAAGAAGGAGGGCGGATTCTGTGTCGAGGAACACATGTTTACCTGGGTGATGACATGCCTGATCCTGGACTGGTTCTGGCTGGTACAAAGTGCGGAGATGGCATGGTGAGTGATCAACTTATCACTTAATCATACAGAGACAAGACCCAGTATTATTATTCAACATTTGGTCTCACTATGCACAGGGGGAGCCATGCTTAACCATGCTAAATCACATGTGGCCAAGTATTATACACACATTCTTATTGTCCACAATGTTAATAAACATGTTCTTTCTATAGGTTTTGAAGTAGCTGTTAGCTTGTTGTTTACTGCCATATAACCACAGGATGCAGCTACATCATTTGTCCTCTAGAGATCAAAGAATGCTGACAACTTAAAAAAACTACTGTAGTATTCCTTTTGGCACTGAGCAAATAGTACTGCAGTACAAGGCCCAGAGAGGTTGTTCCTTCCTAAATAAAAAGGGGCTAATAAAGTTGCCTTATGGCAAACCAGTTATTTTATTAGGTGTGTCTCAGCTTTTTTCCTTCTATATGCTGCCCTTCTCACCACACCGGAGACACCAGGGCCTTTTTCTGCCAAGAAAGAGACCTCTTGCTTTGAACTGGAGACCTTGGATCCTTAATTGTCTTACCAGATTAGGTTACAGGATCTGTTCTCAGTCCTACCTAATGGCACACTGGCTGTGAGAGCATATAATATGGGGCTCATATGAGCAGTGTCACCAATTTTATCTTTCAGTAAGTAAATACGTAAACATTCACTTTTAAAGCAACTCTACTTCCAAAGTGCAGGAAGCCAACTTAACTTATTTGCAGTGTCCACTGGCCTCTATACTTTCCTTATGGTCCCAAGTTAAATGTTGTTCAGGTGCAGGTTCAGCAAGACAGTTAGAGTTAATACTCCACACACCATACCCTGTGGTTCTCCCTGATGAAATTTTTTTTTTAATCCAGTTGCGAAGGAGATAGCGCTTTCTCGCCATTTCCTGTTATACTGAAAATATTACACAAGTTTTGACACACAGCCCAGAACTGGCCAGACCACACTTGCTCCTTTGCAGATACCCATGGTGCCTCTTCAGTAGTTCTCACAACTAGATGATTGCATTTGCCAAACCCCCTGCAGCTGTGGATTTAGCTTGTGAAAGACCAGAGCTCTGCCTACGTGTTTGATATTTGGCAGAATGTGTGAGGGTGGGGTTATATGTTAGAAAATAACTAGTTCATACGATATGTTGTCTATCAGTAGTTGTTCACAAGGGCCACCCCTGAAGGCGGAGTGAAAATCTGGCCATCCTAGAGAAGGGGGAGACGCAATAATTGTTTAAATATGGGGATAATGCCGCACGCTATGAACAAGGTATTTGACCGTCTGAAAAGCAGTTCTGAAGAAACATATTGGCAGCTTTAGAGTGTGGAACCAAACTGCTGGGTTTCTCAGTCCTACAAGTCCTTAAAAGTTCTTTCACTTACCTGAAGGGACTTGCCCTTGGTGCTGAAAGGCCTTTGAGGTTTGTGTGCAAAATGGCCGTCTGCCAGGTTAGCGCGTCTCCTGGCTGTTGTCTCGCAGAATGTGAGTTAGCTCCACACATTATCTGGGAATTGTGATTGCCTGAAGGTGGGTCTTTGTCACAGGCCTTTGTTCTTCTCAAAAGGGTTTTTTTTTTTCATGCCAATCAGGGCATTAAGTTGGCAGCACATGGCCCACAAAAGACCTGCAATTTGAAGAAGATGAGTGCTGCAAACCTAATGCGGGTCTTATTTTCTACATAAAAGAAACAGCTGACTTTTTTTCTAGTCTGGTTTTTGTTCGTTCTAGAGGATACACAGCATAGTGTGCCTTTTGCAACCAGAGTGCCCAAACTTCTTTCTTTGGAAGGCCAAAACTGAAACTTACTGGTGGGCTGCGGGCCAAAATCAAACACCTATTGTATTGTATTGTATTGTATTGATAAACTGCAAAATGGTATACTGATCCCAGGCTCCCTTTAGTGTCACTCTGCTCACAAAATAAAAAAAAATATATATAACTGTGATTTATATTTGGGTAGTCCTGCTTTTGCATCGTCATCCAATGAATTACATTGCGCTATGTGTGGTGTAGCTAGGTAAACATGTCCATTAAACATCACTTCAGTAGTTGACTAAACCTGGTGTCAATATTAAAGATTTTATGTAGCATTTACAATTGTATTCCATTTCCATGTTAATTTCTCTCTAATTCTATGTATTTTCTATTAAAATTGTTAAGTTTTTGTTTATGATTGACAAAGAACAGCTGACTGTAGTGCTATTTGAGCAGAGAACATGGACCGGCTACTTTTATGGTTTAGACACTAAACCTGTGCACATACAAAACAGATATTATCCAACTGTGCCACACAACTGTTCACACTTCTTCTTAGTTATTGTATTCATCTTCATTTGCTCTTCAATTATGTACTTGCTTAATGATGCTTGTTTTTCCCTTTATAGGTGTGCCTGAATCGGCAGTGTCAGAATGTCAGTGTCTTTGGTGTGCATGAGTGCTCTGGGAAGTGCAATGGACGTGGGGTGAGTACAGAGTACCTACTAGCTCAATGTTATACACCGTAGCCTTCAGTTTAGTCGCTTTTTTACCAACTGAATACCGTCTTACTGCCCTATGATTGCGCACCATAGCAACAGTGTATTTACAGTGCAGCCTCTGAGGTATGGCAGCTGCTCCTATTCTGTATGATCAATCTTCATTGTCCCACTGAGGTTAAATCAATCCCATTTAACAGAATCATTTATGGTCTGCGCATAGTGTTGTCCATCATCTTCTGAATGTACAGTGAGAGAAGATACAGTGCAGCACTGCAGGGAGAGACCATAACAGTAGTTCTGTTGCAGTATGAAAGTAACTCTTCCTGCCAAGAAATGATCACCTTTCTCTTTCAGCTTTTCTTATCAATAATTCAATAGGGGGTGCTTTTATGTTTGATTTACTTTGTTGTTTAGTTTTTAGAATCAAACACTCACCAGGGGCTAAATTCACCTACCGTAACCTGTGATCTTCACTGCCAATTAAGGCAATTTATGGTGCAGAGATTATATACAATGAGAAATCAAAGCTCTGAGCCTAAAATTGTATATTCCTTAAACTCTTATCTTGTAACTGACCAAACACTCCTGAACCAAATTAGTCTGTCAATAAAAAAATAGCATCATGCTCAACAACAAATAAAACATATCTGTCAGTTGATCACTGGAATAAAAATAATCACATAAAAATTACTTTGCAATAGAATTGGAGTATAGAGAAATTGTTTCTCATTAAAAGTGTGGACTTGAGCTGCATCTTTCCGCCCGCAGAAGTATCTGCCAAATCAATTTGTCTGCCATTTTCTCAAACACGTCGCACAGTACGAGACCTGACTGGAAATTTAGTAATTCTTTGTATTTACTGTAGAAACTGAAAGAATATTGTTTTCCTGCAAGTCAACTCACTTTATCTTGCAAGGCATGTATTGGCTGTGTGCAGGAACATTGGCATTGGCAATGTTTTTGCATATTAACCCGGTGAAAAGCAACTTTTTAGCTTTTTTAAACTTTATATATGCAAATGTGTCAGACATTTTCAAGAAATAAATAGATACAAATCTGAAGTGTGATCTTTTCTGATATATCAAATACATTTATATGAAATCAAGATAGAGCCAGATCATTGTGTTTACCTAAAACAAAATTTAGTGACTGACTGCATCTTTTTACTGTCCTAAACGTATTAAAATGATTTCCTAAATGTTAATTCTACGTAGGAGCAACAGATAATTTTACCCTTTCCTTGTGACAAACATTTAGAGATTGTATTTGCTTCGTGTGTTGTAAATTTCCCCCACACACACATAAAACTCCCCCCAAATCATACCTCCCTCTGAGCCCCCAAGTGCCTCTTAACCCCGTCACCCAGTGCGAAGGAGTGTCCATGGCCTGGAGGCAGTGAAGGCACTTGACTTTACGTCTGTGCTAAATGTAAATCCCCCACAGCTGCACAACTCTCTCTGCACCTCCATCCTCCCTCCAACTGACAGCTGGACTGCGTTACCTCACCAGGGAATCCTCCTGGATCCGACTTCTGCACTGGAAACCTGAGGCTTTACAGGATGGACTCTCCCATGCACATGTTTTATCTATTATGACTCTTGCATTTGTGCGAGTGCACACACACAGCCAGTGTCCTCTTTTATTGAAAGTCACTCAGACTAACTGAATGAGAGTGGCTTATTTATGAAAAATAAACCAATTCAGTTTCAATCTTGTTATTTGGGGATAGACCCTTTGTAGAGGGCAATGCATCATTTATATCTGGAGATAGCTGGTAAGAATACAAATGCCAAATACTATTTGAAAGGAAGTATCAGTGTAGTAATATATAGTAAAACTACCCTGTTTGCAGGTGTGCAACAACAAGAAGAACTGCCACTGTGAAGCACACTGGGCGCCTCCGTTCTGTGAGAAAACAGGCTTCGGTGGGAGTATTGACAGCGGGCCAATGAGACTGGCAGGTAAGGGTGGACGATTTAATTTCTATCCTCTCATCTAGACAGAGACAGCACTAACTAAGAAATAAGCAACAACACAAAGCCGTACCAGCTGCCCCTTTGTACATCTCTTTCTTGCAGAGTCAGTACTGGATTGATGTGTGGTTTGAATTCGAGTGTAACTCTCCTAGAACAACATAATTTCCACTCCACCAAGCAATAGATTACGCAGCACAGCCTGTAGTCTTAAAAGAGAAAGAAAATTAATCTTAGTCCTTAGAGTGAAGAAGAGAAATGTGTATCACAAACTGTGCTGCTGACTGTGGCCTAGCTGTAACAGTCTTTGCGTTATGTCCTGTCATTGTTCTGTGCTGTAGATGTGCGTGTGTGTGCATTAATGTGCGTGTTGTCATATATGGCATCAGCCGACAGTGTGGTCATTACAGTGGCAATCCTGGTCACCCTGGTCAGCCTTCTGGTAACCATCGTGATCATCTTTCTGAAGAGGAAGACTCTTCTGCGCCTACTCTTCACCAATAGGAAGAGCACCTTGGAGAAACTCAGGTGACAAAGAAAGAGCCAGTGAGATTTGATTGTAGCTCAGCGACATGTTTGTGAGGCTGCAGCAAAAGCCCTTAAGAACTTATTCAGTGTCATTCATTTCAAATCTTTCAACTGTAAGTAACACCTCAGTTTGGCTCCAATGCCATGCAAAATGAATGACATTTGAATGACAAAAATGAAATTTGGCTACAGGGAAGTTTCCAACAATATATATATATATATATATGAGTAATATTTATAAACTTAGAACAGGCCTGTATTTTTAATTATGATCACCTGAGAAACACAAAAAAAATTGTATTTTTTATCTACAAACTCCGAATGTACTCTGAATACATCATATAAATGTATATGGTCAAAAACAAGCTGTAGTTTGGGCTTTCAGAGCCCCTAAGAACTTGGTAAAGTATTTCTCCATAACATTAATTATTCATGACTAAATGAGCCAGAATTGAAGTTAAAGTTAAAAAAAAAAACATCCTTAGATAACATTTATGAAGAGTTTAACACAGAGACTGTGTGGATATGTTTGATCACATTTGATTGACAGTGGCTTGGCAACATAAACAAACAACCCACTAACGGTCATCACAATTTGACTCAGATGTTGCTAAGCTATGATTTTTTTTCCAAAGCTGTTAAATTTTCTTGTTTATATGAGAGGGGAAAAACAGGCCTATACTTTCAGTCAGGATCAGCTGAGAAACACTTTCATCTACACTGAAACAGCAACAGCATGTGTGAATATACCAGAAATCTTATGTATATGGTGAAAAAACTACATAACTTTAAGTACTTTTATTGTACTTATAGATCTGTGGAGGCCAACAGACCAACCAGCCCCATCAGGACTCAGTCCCATTACAGGCCCACACCACAGCGCAAGCCTCCACCCACACCCTCCGGCATCAACATTTATAAGGTGAGTCACTCCCTGTAATATGTTTGGATCTATCTGTGTTTGTTTGTGTGCTCGTTTCTGCAATTTTTTGTCATCGCACTCTATTGGAGCCCTGTTTTAACCTGCAACAAAGCTTCGGTTTAGAGTTGTCATGCTCCCCGGCCTGTTGACAAAACAAGATGATGGCAAGCCGGGTAATTGATTCAGCCTCGGTATATCTCTCTCGAAGAAGAAATATTAATTACGGTGCTATTGTTGTCAGGAGGCAGAGAAAGTTTAATTGAGAGATTGCTAAATTTAAATGAGACTCAGGATGTTGTTATTTCAGCCCCTTTATTATTTGTTTGTGATAAACATTTTTTTTTTAAAGAATGGAGCGGAGTTGATTGATTACGGCAGAGGAGGCACGCAGTTTTTGATTTGTTTGTTGGAAATGATAAGCACAGAGGGAGATTACCTATCATTTGGATGTGTATGACAAACTAAAGCTGCATGCATTTATATGCAAGAGTGTGTGTGTGCAGTATATGCAGCATAGAAGTTATATCTAATATCATAATTAAGTGTAGAAGTTCATCCAGTTTGCTTAATCATATTCAGTCGACCAGAGTGACTATTTGAAACAGCCTGTCCTTTCTTATTATAGTCACCAATTCAGCCACTCGCTTATGTCCAGATGTCAGTCAGCATTGCAGCAGCTCTCTTTCAATACATCTGCACTGTGTGTGTGTGTGTGTGTGTGTGTGTGTGTGTGTGTGTGTGTGTCATACGTACA